GCTTTGTGGCTCTCCTCTGGACATGCTCCAGCAACGCAACGTCTTTCTTGTAGTGAGGGGCCCAAAACTGAACACAGTATTCAAGGTGCGGCCCCGAGTACAGGGGCACGATCACTGTGGCCTACTCCTGCTGGCCACACCGTTCCTGATGCAAGCCATCGCCTTTGTTTCAGCTTGTTCGAGAGCGGCATTAACTGGGGCCGAGTGATTGCGCTGCTGGGCTTCGGCTACCGCATGGCCATCCATGTCTACCAGCAAGGCATTCCGGGTTTCCTCTGCCGGATCGCCAGCTACGTCTCGGAATTCATACGCCGGAACTACATCGCCCAGTGGATCGCCCAGCAGGGAGGATGGGTGAGCCAGCGGGAGCGTGGGGCTGTCCCGGGGCGGGGGAGGATTTGGGGTGAGGGGGTGTCCCTGTGCTCTGGCTGGTGGAAGGTGCAGCCTGGGGACTATGGCACTGGTGGGGTCACCCGGCTGCAGGCAGAGCAGCAGCCTGGCCCGGGCAGATCTAACGTGCTCTGGTTATTCTCTGTTTCCCGTTAGGTGGCTGCACTCGATCTGGACAATGTTTACATGAAGTACATGCTGGTGGTGGTGGCCCTGGTCATGGTGGGGCATTTAGTGGTACGACGCTTCTTCAGGCCCTGACTGACGTGGGGGCAGAGGCTGGGGGGGTCCAGCCAAGCTCTCTCTCAAATCTCTGCTCTGCATTGACATCTCCCAAGAGCGGGGGATTCAAGGAACCTCTAAGAGAGAGAGCAGCTTGGACCTGTGACCCTTCTGCTCCAGGGCCCAAGGTCTCTGCCCTCTATGGAGACACCACCAGCAGCTATGGAGAAAAGCAGTTGGGGGGGATGGGGGGGAGGGGGAGGGAGATTCAACTTTGCTATTTTATGCCTCGCTTAGCTGCTGAGGCCAGACCATCACCGTGACACTCCTAGCACGCAGCAGTGAGGCAGAACAGGCTCCTCCGGAGTCGAGAAGGGAACAAATGCGTTGTCCGAATAATGCCAGGGTGCGTCTGTGTGAGCACGTGGGTCCTGTCCACTCCTCGGGGCAGCTGTGGAGCTCCCCGTTTGCTAAGGGCTCTAGCCTAGACCGTGCCTGCATTTGAAGAGGGATTGCAGCCTGGGTTGCTGCAATAGTCTGTAAATCGCTGGGGGCGGGGGGGGAGCCAGCATCAAAAAGCCCACGTGGGGCTTGCTCTCACCTTCCCTCAGTTCCTGAGCCCAAGTACTTGAGCCTTCTCTTTTAAAAAGCATCCCTACCCCTTTTTTTAAAGAAACACACTGACTACCCGTCACCTGACAGTGGATGGTAAGGTCTGGCAGCTCAGGCGCGCAGGTTTGCCCTGCCGCAGCCCAAACCCGGAGACCGGCAGCTCTGCCGTGGCTGATGCAGGCGCTGGGGTGCACCGACAGCCTCCGTGAGCTCTGCGTGCCGGCAGACCTGGGAAGCACGAGAAGGTTTCCAAACACTAAAAAGCTGTGGGATGGCCCATGGTCAGTGTAGGCAGCCTGCCTGCCTGCCTGCCCACCCTCCCTCCAGTTCTGCTGGGGGCTTCCATTCCGTAGACTTGGATGCCGGCAAACGGGCGGCCCACGTGAGACCAGTTGGGTCTCCCTTGCTCTCAGCGGGAGGCACTGGCGTTGCATCTCATCCCTGCATCAGCTCTTTGCCTTCTGCGCTCAGCTGGGCAGGATGGTGCGGGCATGCCCCGGTTAAGCCCAGGGCTGTGGTGCTTTATAGCTGCCCAGAGAGCAGGGCCCAGGTCTTTGGGAAGTGACTTGACCTTGTTCCATTCATGACTAATGCTTGAGCCTGATTTTTTTTTTTTTTTTTTTGGGGGGGGGGGGGGAAGGAAGCAGGCTCCACTCTCCCAACCCAGATCTTTCTGACTTTTGCAGAATAGGGGGAGAGGCCCAGCATGGACTGCATGGTTTAGCCCTGTTCTTTTTACTCGGGGTGACTCTAAAGCTTGAAACTGTGACTGGCCCTGTCTGAGCCAAATCCCCCTATTCCAGCATCACCCATCTCGGGTCAGCCAGCTGGGGGAGGGAGCCAGAGGGACCACAGAGGTAGGAGATGAGCAGTGGTCCTGTGTCTGGGCTCCTCTCGTAATGCAGACAGAGCCCTCCTGGGCTGGAGCCTGGGACAGCAGAAGTAGCAAAATCATAGCCCTAAAGAGGCTGAGCCCTCCTGCCCTCCGGGGGCCTTTCCACCGTGGCTGGAGTGGGGAACTTGCCTGGTATTGCTGCTGCAAAAGGGGCTGGGTGAGCCCAGCTGATGGCGCTGACTCACCTCTGTGGCATGGGGATGGCCAAACTGGGCAGAGCCCCGCTCGCCTGCAGCCCTGCCTGCTGTTGCCTTCCTCCGCAGCCACCACGAGAGCTCAGCGAGGGTCAGAGAGACCTGGAGAGCAGCCCATCTGCCCCACCGTCACACAGGCTGTCCTGGCAGACAACTGTCCAACCTGGTTTTACAACCCTCCAGTATTGTCTCCCCATATCACCGATTCCTACTTTAATCTTTACCTTCCGATAGATTATTTTCCCCCTCAATGCCTATCCCTTGCTGCAGTTTTAGCTCGTTACTACACGTCCTGTCCAAGCATGGAGGCAGGGCACCTTCCATCCTTTCTCCCTGCACCTGCAGAAGCTTAGCAGAACCAGCCACACTTAAGTCTCTCATGTTCCTGCCTCTTTTAACGCAAGAATAGCAAACCTCTCAGCTTATTTCCATACCAGGGCCTTTCTGCGCTTATCATTTTGACCCTGACTGTTGCTGCAGTATCCCTTTCCCTGGTGGAGTGCCTTGGACTGTGCTTAATAGAAAGGCATTAAAATATTTGCTATAATATTCCTCTTCTATATCTCTGGTTTGGTTGCTTTGTTTGTTTGATCTGCGCTGAGCAGCCCAGATCTCCAGCAGATCGTCCACGCTCCGGTCTTGCAGCCGGGCTGACTCTCTTGGAGCGACTGGATGCCCACCTTGCTCATTTGTCCCCTTGCAAACGGTGTTTCTCTGCATTTATCCACACACAACTTCATTTACCATCGTGCCACCGGTTCACCCATCTTGAGATTTCCTCAAGATCTCAAGGCTCTTCTCTGGTGTGAACCAGTTTCACCAACTTCATATCATCTGCAGTTTCCCATCCCCACACCTTACCGTCTTTTCTGGGGGAAAACACCACCAGATGGAGCCTTTTTGCCACGATGAAGATGAACTACTAATTATTATTTTCCTTTTCTCTTAATCAGCCACATTTTTGACATGTCACTGTCTTCTAGGCTGGTTCTCTGCTTTGGTTGTGCTTCCAGCAGGACTTTTTCAGAGGACCTGGGAAAGAAAACAGTGATATACCAGCTTTTATTCACTACTTCACCAACACACTCCAGGAGCCCTAACAGCTTTGAGAGAACTTCTGCTTGTACAGAAAGCCACGCTGCTTGTAATTTATTCTCATCTTCCAGATAGGGTGTTTCACCTTGCAAACCAAATCCAGCTGTAAGGCCAGCAGCCTTTAAATAAAGAACCTTTTTTTCAGCTTTACGGTAGACGATCATGCCTTAGTAGAGTCTGTGATACCAGGACAGAGAAGGGAACCTTTAAAATAGGTGCTGTCGCAAAGGGAAGTTTGCATTTTATCCGTTTTCTCAGGGGATTTGCAGGGAGGATTTTTGTCTCAGGATATCAGCGTATTGCCTCCCTCTGCTCTCACCTCTCCCAGCCTTCCTGACACTGGTTACCAAGTGGAAAAAAAGCTTGAACTGGGACTGTGAATGGGCAACTGGTCTGTAGTACTGTGTCCTGTCACTGGATGGCAACAGCATTGCAGGCAGAGCCAGCTGGGTGCTGGGACCCAGGGCAGAGAGGGGCTGAGCTCCCGTGGAAGGGGACATACCCCCCCCGACACCTTCCAGGTCCCCCTTTTTGTCCTGGTCTTGTAGCCATCAGCTGTGGTCTGCACACCCAGAACTGTGAGTGCTCTGACCTGTAGCAAAGGCAGGCATCACTGGTTTGTACTGGACTGCTGTTGGGGAAGGTGCGAGTGCTTTAGGGGGGCAGGAACAGGCTAAAGCAGGGTTGGATTTGCTGGGCTCAGAGCAGACCAAGATGAGAAGGCTTGGCCTGCCCCAGAAGGTGATGCTCCCTGTAGGGCTGGTGGCCCTCCCCAGAAGCTGATGCTCTCCATAGTGCTGGTG